AAAAGATATGGCATCTGGGGTCTTAAAGGCTTGAAGGTAAACAAGCAGCCATCAGGCTGAGAAGCAACAAAGCCCACATGGAAGAAGCACACTAGTCTATGTGATCATGAGGTGTCGATGGATCAGGTATCAAACATCAGAAAACCCAGAACAAACATTCATATCAATGTGAATGAAGGGATGGGGTGGGGGGAGAGTGAAGGCCCAACGCCCATCTGTAGACTATTGGACATCCCTCAGAGAAGGGTCACAAGGAAGGGATGAGCCAGCCAGGGTGCAGTACCGCATTAGTGAAACACACAACTTTCCGCTAGTTCTTTAATGCTTCTTCGTCTCCACTATCATGACCCCAATTGTCATCACAAATCCAGATAGACCAGAGCATGTACACTGCTCTGAAAGAGCTCTTGACACAGGGAATCTAGGATAGATACCCTTCAGGAACAATAATGGGAGTTGGGATACCATGAGGGGTAGGGGTAAGGTGGGTGGAAAAAGGGGGACACATATCACAGTGATTGACATATAACCCACCCCCCCCCCAAAGGGAGACAGACAACAGAAACATGGGTGAGGGTGAAGGGAGACAGTGGTCAGTGGAAGCTAAGAAAATAATAATAATTTATATATTATCAAGGGTTTATGAGGGAGGGAGCATGGGAAAGGGAGGAAAATAAATGGGAGTTTATACCAGGGCTCAAGTAGAAAGAAAATGCTTTGAAAATGATGATGGCAACATATGCACAAATGTCAATGATACAATTGATCTATGGATTGCTATAAGAGCTGTAAGAGCCCCTAATACAATGATTTTTTTAAAAGGGTGATCAAATGGTAAGATACTACGTTTTAACACTTACATGGTTGCTTGTCTGAAGACAGGCCTTTAAGACCCCATATGCTATTCCTTCTGATAGCTAGACACTGGTCCTGGGAAGATTTGTAGCCTTGAACTTACAGAGGCAGTTCTACCCTATCCTACAGGGCCCCTACGAGTCATCATTGATTTGATGGGAGTGGAAGTCATGCCCCAGTGAGAGGATTGCTAACGTTCTCTAACAAAATGACAATGATGTCTCTAAGGTGAACCAGAGACGTGTGCTGAGTCAGCCATGATATTTTCAATTGACTCAGATGAATGTGAAAGCTGGACATTGAATAAGGAAGACCAATGAAAGGGGTCTCCGGGAGGAGGCGAGCCAGTCAGGGTGCGAGGTAGCAACAACCGAGAATGCAACTTTCCTCTAGTTCCTAAGTGTTTCCACCCCGCTCCCACTCTCATGATCCGAATTCTACCTAGCAAGTCTGGCTAGACCAGAGGACATACACTGGTACAGATAGGAACTGGAAATCCAGGGAATCCAGGGTGGATGATCCTTACAGGACCAGTGGTGTGAGTGGCGATACTGGGAGGGTAGAGGGAGAGTGGGTTGGAAAGAGGGAACCGATATGTGACCTCCTCCCTGGGGGACGGACGACCGAAAAGTGGATGAAGGGAGACGTCGGACAGGGCAAGATATGACAAAATAATAATTTATAAATTATCAAGGGCTCATGAGGGAGGGAGGAGTGGGGAGGGAGGGGAAAAATGAGGACCTAATGCCGGGGGCTTAAGTGGAGAGGAAATGTTTTGAGAATGATGAGGGCAATGAATGTAGAAATGCGCTTTACACAATTGATGTATGTATGGATTGTGATAAGAGTTGTATGGGCCCCTAATAAAATGATTAAAAAAAAGAATAATAGGAAGCAAACCATAAAAAAAAGATGGATGCATTAAAACTATTATGCTGGAGAAGACTATTGAAAGTACCATGCTAAAAGGACAACGGAATCAGTCTTGGGAGAAGCAGAGCCAGGTACTCCTTTAGGGACAAGGATGAAAGACAGTCTCATGTTCTTTGGACACATTGTCAGGAGAGACCAGTCTCTGGAGAAGGCCATCATGCGTGGTAAAGTAGAGGGCCGACTGAAAGAGGAAGATCTTCTCTAGGATGGATTGACTCAGTGGCTGCACTCATGAGCTTAAATGTAAGAACAATTATGGGGATGGCAAAGGGTTGTGCAATGTTTCGTTTTGTTCTGCTTCGAGTCACAGCTTTCTCAATGGCACCTCACGATAGCAACAAGTGTATGGGCCAAAATTAAGGTGGGCAGTGGGACAACTTGGATTTTTATGTATAGTTATTAGAGGTGAGAAATGATATTTTTAGATGTTGCTAAGGCGGCTCTGACTCATAGCGACCCTCTGTACTGCAGAATGTAACAAAGCTAGGTCCTGTGTCATCCTTAACAATTGCTAATATGTTTGAGCCTGCTCATGCAGCCACTTTTCAGTCCATCTCATTGAGGCTCTTCTTGTGTTTTACTCACCTCCCACTTCACCAAACATGATGTCCTTTTCCAGGGCCTGGTGTCTCCTCATCATATGTCTGAAATGTGAGCTAAAGTTTTGCAATCCTCCCTCCCAAAGAGCATTCTGGCTGTATTCCTTCCAAGACAGATCCGTTTGTCCTTCTAGCAGTCCATGGTATTTTCAATCTTCTTTACCAACATCAGAATTCAAGGGAATACATTCTTCCCTGGTCTTCCTCATTCATTTTCCATGAGGTGAATGAAAGTACCATGAGTTGGAGCAGGCACAACGTGGTTCTCAAAGTAGCCTCTTTGCTCTTTAACACTTTACAGAGATCTTTTGCAGCAGATTCCCGAGTGCAATGCAGTAACTGCATTGAGTTCTGCTCAATGGGTTTGATGAGTACTACTTCCATAAGGTTTGGTTATGGATCTAGGTAAAATTAAATCTTCGATAAATTCAGTCTTTTTTTCCTGTGTCATGATGTTGTCTATTTAGCCAGGAGTTAGTAGGATTTGTATTTTTATATTGAGTTGAAATCCACATTGAAAGTTGTAATGTTTGATTTTCATCAGCGGATGCCTTAAGTTCTCATTGTCAGTAAGCAATGCTGTGGCATCTCCGTATCCTCTTCTCCTGATACTGCATTCTTCTTCACATTAGTCAGCCTCTTCAGATTATTTGCTCAGTATACAGACTGAATCAATATGGTGAAAGATACTACCCCACTGCACAACTTTTCATAATTTTTAAACCACGTAGAATGTCCATATTTTGTTCTAAAGGCTGAATCTTGGTCTGTTTACATGTTCCAAATGAGCAGAAGGTATAAATGAGTCTCATTGTCTCCATCAATGCTTTCAAATTGAAGATGTACCCATGAATCAGCTTTCCATTTTAAGATAAACACTGTGCAGATACACTTGAACATACTTAAGATGTTCATGTCTAAAAATGGCAAGTATTCAGATTATCAATGTGGGTAATGGTGGGACAAATAAAACTGGAAACATCGTGCACTGGTTGACCCCAGTGTCACAGCCACTATGTCAGTACATCTCATGGCAAAAAATGTCAATTATTCGTGGTGTACTATATAATAACCGTCAGTAGCAGTGAATTAAAGCTGCACATATAGATACCTCAAAGACAAACTCAAAAACAGTATTAGTTCTCAGCAGAAGCATATATACACAATGATGTGTATATATTTTATTAAGTACTTTAAAACAACAGTATGTATTAGGCATATTGGTATAAAAATAAATAAAACAGCAAGAAAGAGGGTGATAATCCGGAATTTTAAAACGTGGGACCAGAGAAAAGAGCATGAATACAATGAAGCCCAAAGTTACTGACCGTGTTCTACTTCTTAAGACGAGTAGAGGACCCCTGGTTATTTGCCAACATCTTTATTGATTATATACACATTGTTTGTTTGTTTTTCTTTGTATACTCATTTCTTGAATCAGAATCCACTCTACGGCAACTAATAACAACATTGGCAACTAATGTTTCATAACCTGAAAGCACACTATGCCTACATTTCCATAGGATTCAGTTCTATGATTCTAACAAGCTCTTGAAGAATGAAAATCTATATATTTATGGCATAAGGCACTGACATAAAAAGATACACATTTAACTTTAGCTATGCTAATTCATTCATTATTTTGAAGTATGATTGTATTTTTATAGTGTGTTGTTCTCAGGCATAAAAATTACTTTGCAAAAAAATGGTGTTCAGCCCTGGAAATCAATGCACAAAACACTAATTCACTAAGACTCATAAAAATGTTCTCTCAAAAATATTATAATGAACTTATGCCAGGCATGCTTCTGACTAGAAAATCTCATTTGTGATATGTAAATTAAAAGAAAATTTATGCAATTCTTTCAGTTCATTTACTTTTCTGTAAAACCAGCACAGTGCCAATTGTTTTTTTATACTAGTTGAGACTCTGATTTTTAGTGGTTTTTTTTTTGTAAGACTAACTTGAGATTTTCTTTTTCTGTGTTACTCTAGGACAGCTTCCCAGCACGATTTGGAGGGATTCACTTTGTCAATCAACCATGGTATATCCATGCCCTGTATACTGTGATTCGGCCCTTCCTGAAGG